TTAATATTATTAGGAAAAGACAGAAATACACCTTCTTCGCCCTTACTACTTTCCTCCATTATACCCAGGGCATCCTAGGCTCACAATATGGGGTACTTATGTCCTGAGGGCTGGCCACAGTGCTCTCCTTTGGAATGAATGCTACATTCTAACAAGTTCCAGAACCCATGATATCTAAGGACAACTGGCTCTCCACAGTCCTCCCAATACAGGGTTGCCCAGAGGCTTCCTAGCTCACCCCTGGGTTGAGAAACAGGTTTATGTGTTTATGCAGCAAGGCTTGATTCTGCTGGTTGCCTGCACAGAAATTCTGCAAAAATTCATGAGCCAGCCTCATTATCTCCTGCATCTTGGTGTCTTCCGCCTGTGTGGGAGGAGAAACAGGAAAAGCATTTATTGTAAGGCTTCTACTCCACGCTATTACCTTCTACCAAGGTGGCCTCCAGAGGTGTATGCCCAAGGCACTGTGGGTAGAGTGAGGTGCTTGTATGACCCCCTGAGAAGCAGCCAGGATTTATGTGCCCTGTAACTGAAAACGAATTCTTTCCTACTGGTCACTAGAACAAACACAAAGATTTTGCATAGGAAAAGGCCATGGAGTCAAAGTAACAGAAGGATCTCATTGTCTACTGTTGGCTGAATTTCTGAATCCCTACTCTGAATTCCGACTTTGGAGAACAGGTGCTGACTATAAAGAAGGGCCCATTTCACCCCTGTTGCTAAATCCTCAGCTCATCTGCTAACTTTTTAGAGGTCACCCATTGTCAAATATCTGGGAGGAGACGAAAAGTCCTCAGATTATAAATTAGGACAACTGCACCGGTTCATCCCCTTTCTCTGCAACCCTAGACATATCTGTAAATGGAGATTTAGCTTTACCTTCTGAAAAATGGGACAGTATCTGCCCTAGGCATGCCATGGTTGGTCATGTAACTCTTCCATAATTCAGACTCTGTAATTTCCCATTACCACCTTTACTGTTAGTAAAGAGTTAAATATTGTTACAAAACAGAAAACCTACTGTCATTCTGCCCAGTTCTCAATCACAAACATTTGAGGCAGTGAAAGGAGACTGAGACTCTCCAAAGTGGACGTCAGTATTCACGTCCTCCTGCCAAAGGTCTGCTAATGCATCTCGTATCTATCGCTTCCTCCTGGAGGCAGGAGACTGGCAGCAAGGATGAAGACCCTCACGCTGTCTGCGACATGGAACAAGTTACTTCAATACTCTGTGTCTCCATTTTCTCATCCATAAGTGGAGATAAAAGCAAGTACACACAGTACAGTCACGAGGAAGGTGAAATGAGAAAGTCCACGTGGAGTGCTTAGGCAGCCCGGAGAAGTACGAGTCAGCTATGGCTTCTGGTTTGAACGGAGGTCAGTAAAATTAAAGAGCCAGGCAGAAAAATTTTCAGATTAGTGAGTCAAGAAGTTAAACCCAAAACACTGCCAGTACTTATGTAACTATCTGGAAATGCAGCAGCTATTCTGAGCTGACATGCTAGGAACAAACAGGCAGAGGGTTGGAAGTGGTCCATTTTTATAGCTCATCAACTTTGGCCCAAGAAGTAACACAACCCTGGGAGAAGACAGGACAAACCCGTCAGGAACAAGTGGCACAAGGATTGGGAGCAACCAGCTATGGTAATCTAACAAAACCACAAGAACAACAGGATACTAATAACAAGTCTATGTAGGTGGGAGTGGCACTACGCCTACCTCTAATTTGGGGGCAAAAGTTTTACATGTAAGACACTAGAGGACTCAGGAGAGAGGGATACTGCTGGTTGAGATGGGGAACCTTGAAAGTCCTGTATGCTTCCATTTCTTCTACTAAAATAAAGAATCTGTTAAGCTCAAGGCAGTGAAGAGCTTCTGGGGTTTACAGAGTATTTTCACAAGGTGGCAGACTTGGAAGACATTGTGTGATAAGATGTTGCTTGCTGGAAATCTCTAGAATTCTCACAAACTGGGATGTCTGTGCTCTTTCCACAGTGAGTGAACGCGCACACACACACACACACACACACATACACACACACACAGAGAGAGAGAGAGAGAGAGAGAGAGAGAGAGAGAGAGAGAGAGAGAGAGAGAGAGATATCTGCCTCAGTGGCATCAACTCAAAATTAATCTGGTAATACATACTTTAACATTGCTTTATGAATGGCTATCACTAAAGTCAAGGACCAAGCTATGGCCATCCAATCATCTTCCCATACTACACAGCAGAAAAGTGTGGTAGACATGCACTCTTGTATGAACTCTAAGTTTAACTCCAAGTTACCAACAAGTCTGATGTCCCAGAAGGATGCACTTTGTGCTTTCCTTGTGGCTGGGAAAATATATAACTCAGCTGCTTGATAACTTCTCCCTGACTAAGCAGGTAGCTTCTGTGTATGGCACTATCTAAACTAGCAGACCCAGACTGCACAGGGGAGCAGAGCTGGCTCTAGTCATACAGCTGTGTCACCCTGAACCTCCCTGGCCACAGTGTCCTCAGGACAGTAGGAGCTAAGAAGCACAAGGGGCTCAGCAAGGTGTTGGGCAACCTAGAGTCCCTCAGCAGTAGGCTCACTGCTGGAGATGACACTTCACCAATGCCTCTGGGTTGTTATGGATGATCTAAGTACTCCAGAGTCACACCAAACTTCCCTAGGCCTCAGTTTCATACTATGTCAAGTGGATAAACCACAAAGCCTCACTGCTATTGCAAGGTTTAAATGAATGCTTTCCCAAGAATCTTGCTTGTCTCCATAAATGCTGAGTAGATCGTTTCCTGCCTGTTCTTAGTGGGTTTTGTCAACAAAATCCAGACAGCTGGAAAGAGGGAATTTCACCTGAAAAAATTACCGCCATCAGATAGGTTTGTAGGCCACTCTGTGGGGCATTTTTTAGATAAATGATTGAGTGGCATAGCCCAGTCCACCGTAGGCAGTGCCAACCTTGGTCAGGGAGTTGTATTAAAAAGCAAGCATGGCAAACATAGTCTGGCATCAGTTCCTGCCTCGAGGTTTCTGCCTTGAGTTCTTGCTTTGACTTCCCTCAGTGATAGATGGTGACCTGAGAGTTATAAGATGAAATGAACCCAATTCTTCCCCAACATGCTTTTAGTCATGGTGTTTAGCAAAGCAATAGACACCAATGCACATACATAACCTCTGGTGTAGACCTAGAGGTCCCCAACTAGCAAGGGTTAGGCATGATAGAAGAATGGAATCTTTGTTTCTTTATAGAATACCAACATTGGAGGTGTGGGGGAGTCTGTCTCATATAAATTAGCTAGAATTGCTTTATGTCACAAGCTTATTTCGCTGTTCACCTACTATGTCCAATCCCGAAGTGTTTGGAGAGAAGAGTCAACCCACCCTGGGCAGCAGTAGCCTGGGTGCAAGGCCCTCTCACCTTCTCATAGGGGATCTGCAGCAGTTCGAGCACCACGGCATGAGCGCCCATGTTCCTCAGCAGCCGCTGCTGCTGCTTCCTGCTCTTCCTCACTGAAGCACTCTCTTGCACACACAGTTTGCTAAGTCGAATCAGAATCTGAGAGGAAGAAGTCAACATGAGAAAACAAACCTGGAACTGTCGTGTGGGGAGAACCCAGAAGGGGAGCCGGTGACAATACATGAACAACTTAGGACAGGGGCATGCCTCATGTATGTCATGTCCCTGATGAGGGCATGAAATCCAGTCAGTGTGAGAAAAGTGTGTCTTTCAGATTAAACAGCATATCTAGGTTTCAACAGCCAGTGAAATGAGTTCATAGGTCACTTAAATAATCTGATCGGACAACAACTGCCAAGACTTAGGAGGGCTTTGCTGAAATCAAACCACTATATGCAGAGACTTCTAAAGACAAGCATGGATATAAACTTAGTGACCATATGAATGAACCTTTGATCAGCTTTAAACCTGAAAATTATGTATTACTTTTGAAAAAACAAAACAAAATAAAACAAAACTTTGTCTACCAAAGGTAAGGGACTGAGAGCATTCAGTTAATTCACAGAGGAGCTGGGATTCAAACTCAGACCTGAGGCTAAAACTCAAGTGTTCACTTAAGGGTGCTGCTACTTTCTCCCGGGTCAAATTTTACACAAAGAAAAAGAGCTCAAGCAGTGCGCCTTCAACCTGTCTAACGCTGAGAAAGCTCCTTAGAGAACTATCAGGACGAAGCAGGCATGGGGCAGCTCACCTCCTTCACCACTCTGTAGTTGTAGCTGCTGGTGCTTTCATGCTTTTGTGGCTTGTTACTCCCCTCCTAGGGACCAGAAAGAACAAACATGCGGTCGGTGATTCTCATGGTCAACTTTTGGGTAAGCATCACCCTTTATGAAAGTACACACATTCTGCACTGTCTTTCAATACTCAGGTGGCCCAAGACATTCACATATTCTTCAAGCTTTGGAAGAAGATGTCATGGACACAGGAGGCCATGCCCTACTGCATCTCTGCGGGAAATGTAGTGCTACACCTGACTCAACGAGGCTCTTCTCTATGGTCCAGGGTTACCCAGAAATACATCTGAACTTTGATTTTATAGCTAATTTCCTAGGAGAATAGTGGTTACCCTGGCTATGCAGCAAGCATCTCTGGGGAATAAGACCCACCCTATCACCTGTATTTATATTTAAGACTCGGAGAGAATGCTTCCTTGTTTGAAGGTGCAGAAAAGCCACATGGGAAACACAGCTTGGATTTTGCTTACCTCAGTCTTCTTATGTTCATTTTCACCAGAGGCACCATCCATGGTCTCATCAGGACCCTGGCCTTTGTACACCCATAGCTCGGATTTTTCCACAATGGAACGCAGTTGGTCCAAGTCTTGCTTGATCTGTTTGTAGTTGTCCACATCTTGGCTGGTAACCAGCAGTTGAACCTTAATGAACACAATCCGTTAATTACATGAAACTTAAAATGTACACACACATACACAAACACACACACACAATCATTTTACTACACATTACAACTCTTTTTTTTTTTTTTTTTTTTTGCCAAAGAAGATGTCCCAAGATGTTTGGAGAACACCAGTCCCCTAGGGTTTCTGCCGCTAGCCTGCAGGGAAACAGGGATAGCAGGAGGCCAGGCACCCCTAAGGAGAACCCCTTAACTGAAGCCCCCCACCAGCTCATGTGAGCAGCAGAGATGAGTTGGAAGTATAGGGACCCCAGGTCTAAAGTGCTTCCTCAGAAGAGCGCAGGTCACACGACTGGGTCAGCCATGAGAACAGCACCAGGAGTATCGGTGGGAACCACAGCTGCCTGAAGCCGGGCCTGGCTGGGCTCTGAGTGTCCATTAATCCAGAACGAGAGCAAGACAATGGTGCGTCCAGACTAAACTGCGAAGGTGCGTTGTGGCCCTGACGCAGGGCCCATGTAAGCTGCTGCTCCAGCCTCTAGCGCAGCCCTTCAGGCCTTCTGGGAGCTCTCAGGGTTGACACGCAGCCGAACGCTCTGTGGCCAGTCCTCAGAGAATCCCCGCGAGGCCCTGGAGAGTCCCAGTTACGAGGCCGCCACCAGCTCTGCCTGCCTGGATCTGGCCTTGGCAGGGGCTTCTGGATTTATGTCAGGAAGGGGCTCCGAAGGAACCTCTGGTAAGTCGATTTGTTCCTGAGTGATTGCATTCAGCTCCTCCAGGATGGCATCCTCGTCCTCCTGGGTGAAGTTGCCGGCCAGCAGCTCATCAATTTGCCGCTGGTACTCTACGGCGTCCTGGGTCTCGTCCAGGATCCGCTCCACCTCCTCTATGGACATCACCTGGTGCATCTTATTCAGACACTCGTTGCCCACCTGAAGCCCCTCCATCACCTTCATCTCGATCTGCGTGAACTCGATGCTCTGAACCATGGCTTCCAGGCTGCTGATCTGATTCTCTGTCCTGTCGAGCAGCTGCTCCCGGTATCTCTTCTTCTTGAGCAGCAGCTTGGCCCGCTCTTTCCTGCCGTCCCGCAGCAGCTGCCTGGCCAGAGCCCGCTCCCTCTCCAGCTGCTGTGTGACCCTCTTCTGGTACTGCCTCAGCTTGTCTCTCTGCTGCTTCAGTTGCAGGATGGCCCTGTCCTGCTCGGTGACCCGGCTCTGCTTCTTGCGGCCAAACAGGTTGCCCATGGCGGCCCCCGCGCCGGCCGGCCGAGCCCGTCACCGCCCCATTACACCTCTTTTGATACCCAACAGCCATGTTGGCTACAGGAAGTACCTGTTTGAAGGCCTGAAGGACCTCCTGCCTTTGGCTGAAGTGCCGAAAGAGGAGCTGCAGGGCCCCAGACACCAGGGGTGGGTAGTCATGCATTGTCAAGTGGAGCAGAACCCGGAGGAAGGTTCTACCACCATGATCATCCAAGTCCAATGGTGTGTTCTCCTCACTACAGGAACACAGGAAAGAGGGAGAAACCAAGTAAACCACAGATTCAGGATCATGCATGTGAGCCTTGACAGAGCAAACGCAGTTGAAACACTACTCTATGCAACGAAACCTCAGATTTCATCAATTTCTTAATGAGACAACTGTGCATTACCTTCAGCTACGTTGTGAGATGAGTAAGAGGGTTCAACAATACATTTTTAAACCAAAGCCCTTATGCTCCTAAGCTGACGTTAGAGGACTCATGACATCTCACACAGTGTTCTTCCACTGTACTTCACCTGTGCTCCATAATCTACAGCAGATGTGCGTCTTCAAGCTTTTGTGTTTTGCTCACCATACGTTTTGATGATGGGCAGTGTTAAGTGGCCACACAAGTGCTTAAACCACGACTCTGTTCTACGTGTTCATTAGCATCTCCATGTATACTGCCACCAACTAGTTTGATTCCATGATTCCTGCTTCTAAGTGTTGGAACAAACCAATAAAAAACTCAGTCTGCTCCAAAGGAGATTCAGCCAACATATTTAACAGTGGTTACTTCAATATCTATGATAATTATTGTGCTACTTACATAAAGAAGATCCATAAACAGACACTGAATTGAATGGCAAATCACTTCACAAATGGTCACACTGGTCAATAACTGCGTTAGCACCTATACTGTGTCTACAGTTGCATGAATAAGAAATGGTTAGACCATCATGGCTGCAGGCTAATAAGTACAGGGAGGACAAGACGTGGCAATATTGTAGTCACACTGTGTACCTAAAAAGGCGTGATGGTTGCACTGCTGCTCAAGATGAGGTAAATGGCTGGAAAGCTGAGCTGTCATTTGATAGTGTCATCATTGTCAACTGGATATCATATGATACTTAGCGTCATCACTGTCAGCTGGAAAAACTGCAAACAGATGTGCCTCAAAGTTCACGTTTTCTTATATTAAGCACTGAGGCAGACTGCTAACATTCACAGCTCTATAAACTGGGCCTTTGCACTATGCACATCCTTAAGTAGCTCTCTTTATTACTAACACTGGCCTTGGCCAATACATCAGTAAGCACAGTGCGAGCAGACGTGTAATTAGCACTTGCATACTGTTGGCTTGTCTTCTTGGAACATTTGTTCTGGAAATCAGCCATTGTACTGTTAGAAGCACAAACTGGCCATGTGGAGCAAGGTTGAAACCTCAGCTTTAACATATTCTTTTGAAGGTACCAGAAATGAGTAACTGGGAATGGCAGGGTGTGCCATTCCCAGTTACTACATCACTACAGTTGCACGGCAGACCTAACTGCTCAGGGGAGCCCCAGTCAACCCAGAGAACTGTGAGAATTACTTGGTGTTCAAATGCTTGAGACTTTTGGAGATGCATGTTATTGAACAATAAGTAATAGAACCAAATCTGCTAATTGTAATTGCTTTGCATGTAGGGTATTTATTCTTGTAGATATGTGAGTCCATTCTAATAATGATTTATGTTAAAACTAAGGCCTGTGATGATAAGAGGGGCTCACATTAGCAATAATTAAAGGACAAATTGTGGGGTTTTCTTTTCTTTGTTTATTTTGTTGTTATTGCTGCATAGCTTGTCCAGAGCTCAGGGATCTACTGTAGCACGCGCGCACCACCTAAATTCTGTGACTCAGTAGCTTCAAACAGAGCAGTACAAGAACTTGAACCTGAAGGCTAAATAGTGGTGTGCCCAAGAAATAACCCTGTGAGACTTCTAGAAGGGCTGCCTACCACATTCTCGAACTACCATGACATAGTCAATGAAAGCACACTTGCCTTCCTCCAAAGATGCCTTCTGCTTGTTCTTCAATGTGTTCAAAGTCAAGAGCACCTGAAAGGTGAGAGAACGGAAGGTGAGATACAACAGAGCCCGAAAACCTGCTTCTCACAGACTGACGCTAATGCGCTTCAATAGCCTTGCTCACGGGTGGCCCTCAAATCTGCCAGAATCAGGACCTACAAGGCTAGCCCAGACGACCCTCACACCTGTCATTTTTTGTTGCTAAAGAAGAGTGGTGGTCTCAATCCAAAGAAGGCTTAGGCTATCCGGGAATCATGTCTACCCACTGGCTCTTAGCCTTTTCCATTATTTTATGGCTAAGCACAACTTCAAATACAGAACAAAAGTTACCAATGGACAACTGAGTTCTTTGGAAATATTTTTGGGATTCCGTTGGTTTCGGGTTGCTTTACAGGTAATCCCAACACTATAAACCTCAGCTATCTTCAGTTCCTAAAGACATAAGGTCTACCTCCCAAGCAATGTTTATTTCTTTCTCTCTCAGTATGCTCTTGATGGAAGAGTCCTTAAAACACAGCAATCCTCAAGAGTAGTCACATTTTACTTTTTTCTGGATGATATTGTTTTGAGCCTCAAGTGCTATTACACCCAGGTCCCACCCTATGGATGAATCCCCAGGCTGGCATCACTAACCTGGAACATTACTTGGCCCTTCTTGGTTGCTGTTTCCGGAGGATGTTTCTGACGACTGGGAATTGCTTTCATCAAACTCCCGCTTAAATATACACAGGAGGCAGGAGATCCTATAATCCAGCCTCACATTCAAAATAAACTAAAGATTCAAATAGAAATGGAAACACTTGGTTACATTAACATACCATCTTTAACACTTTGCCAAGCCGCTGCATTCTGGCAGGGCCTGGTATCAGCAGCATCAATTACCTTAGGCACTGAGTCAAATATTCGTCTTGGGTTTCAACAGTCACTTTTAACAACCACAGACTTCTGAGGGGCACACGAGTCCGCCCATGAGACACCTTAGCTCCCAGTGCAGTCTCTGGCATCCTGAAGATGAATTAAACACCTGGAATGCTACATCACTCAAGCCTCCATCCTCTCTAAATCAGGACTCTATTTCAGCAAAGACTCAAAGTCAATTCTGGGCCTAACCTAAGAAGTTGGCTGCTTTGAACTGAAAAGAACTGACAGAAATTTTGCTTTTACTTCCAAGAATTTGCTTCATTTATATTTACAACCACTTTCTGATCATCTCCTCTGATTTAGGTAGAGCCCCTGGGCTCTCATTTTGTTAACTTCCTATATTCCCTATCCCCCTACTGCTGCAGACACGTTCCAAAGGATTATTGCTAAGACCCAGAAGAAAAGTCAGCCAGCTGCACTATTTAAGCATCCTACCGACATCCTTCCTTCCCCTTTCTCCTAGCTTCTGCTTAGTCCTCTGGGTGACCTTACCCAATTTCAGGCTGTCACCAGTACCAGATGGAGACAGATGTTTGACCTGTCTCCAAGCTATTAGTCCATGTTCCCAAGTGACCATTGTACATCCTGTTTGGTATCTTTCCAGAACCTCCAATTCAGTATTATACAAAACCAACTATAATCATTACTTGTAGGTGTCAACCTGGATTGATTTAAAGGACACCCAGATGGCTGGCAGGAGGCTGGGAAACCACACAGAAAGGTGGGGAGATGGGCAGCGAGCAACTATTAGTGAGGAAGGAGGGGTTCCTTTTGTTTTTAATATTTTTCAGTTGCAGGAATACAGGAATTGACACAGCACATGGAAACAATCAAGTTAGGGGAGAAGAGATGAATAATGTTAGGAGCAAGCCAACTCCTTGTGTATGGAAGGAAGAAGTCTAGGCTTGTTCTGGGTGTGAGACTCTTGGCCTCATGACATCCCTAAACTCCCAACAGCTTGAGCAGCTCTCTTTATGTTCTATGTATATGATTTTTAATGCTCAAAGAAGTTGCTTAGTGGGAAGACTCACATTAGCTCTGCCCATGTCCAGCTCCTGCTGCATCTGTGTCTGATCAAGCCATCTTAAATACAGCGGTCTTCTCTCACAACTCCATCAAAAACCATTATCTCTGCTCCCTGCCTATGGTGTTCTCCAAAACAGCTGATCCTCCTTCTTTAAAAGAATTCATTTTTATTAGATGTGTATTGGTTTTTCACCCACATGCTTGTCTGTGCAGCACGTGCACGCCTGGTACTCATGGAGGCCTGAAGACAGTCACCAGCTTCCTGGAACTGGAGTCACAGATGGCTGTGAGCCACCATAAAGGTGCTGGGAATCAAACCCAGATCTTCTAGAAAGCATCCAAGTGGCTTTAACCATTGTCATCTCTCCAGTTGCCAGCTGGCCTGTCTTTATGTGTAAACAACTAAGCATTGATTTTTTTGATGATATGTGCCTATGCTCCCTGTCCAAATAGAGCTCTTTAGGACCAGAACTTTAATGGGTCTTGTTCATTGCCTGCTTCCAAGTGCTAAAAGGGAGATGGAGCTGGAATCAACAAACATTCATGGGCGGGTAGGTAGGTGGATGAAAAGAGCAGAACACTGATGGGGACAAGGAAGAAGAGGAAGAGGAAAAAAAAGGAGGAGGGAGGAAGAGGAAGGCTTTGCAATGCTAATAGAACTTTTGAGAAGCACACAGTTAGAGACCAGCAAAGGCTTGGCAGAGAAAAGGAGGCTAGCTGGGATGTAAAGCTAAGGGAAGGAAGCTCTGGGATGGCAGAATAGACAAAGTCATGATGGGAAGGGGTGGGAGATGACAACCAAGAATTAAAAGGAGTTAATTCTGAAGTGATACAGAGGGATGAGCTAAACAGCTGGCCCCTATCAGAGCAGAGAGGAAATATTGAGCAGGGACCCTATCAGTATCTTGTTCTCTGCACCACACCTGCAGGATTTCAATGATCTTCAGCTTGGTGTCCATGACCATGATGTCCTCCTTCTCTGGCTCTGCCTGCTTCACGTTTCCTTCAGGGGCAGT